GATTGGTGGGTCGAACCCACCAGAGGCTCCATGGGAGAAAAGATCTGGCAATCTGCTCCAGTAAAGATTACAGCCTAGAAAACCGTATGTGGCAGTTCTACTCTGTCATATAGGGTTGCTACGAGTCGGAAACGACCCGATGGCACATAACAACAACATTCTGAGTATAAAGAGCTCTGATGGCACAAATGGTTAAGTGCCTGGCTGCTAACCAAAAGGCTGGCAGTTTGAACCTACCCTACGGCTCTGCAGGAGAAAGACCTGGCAATGAGCTTCTACTCTGCCACATGCGGTTGCTCGGCAGCACCTAACAATAACACAGCCTGAGTACTGGTAGCCAGGGTGGGCAAGGAGGAGACCACGGACTGGGAGTCTTCATAAGTAACTGGGGTCAGTTCTAACTCTGCAGAGTCAAAAGCAGCTTGAGAACAGAAAGAACCAATCTGGGAGGACTAAAGTTATGTTGAAACAAATGGCTAAACCACACATCTCCAGGAGAATGTCTTCTTCCCTTTCTTCAACTTATACTTTTTCTCCTACCACTGTTTTCTGTCTCCCAGTTTCCTTAGAAACTTGTTCAAGTACCTCTAGCCTTACAATATTGGCCTTTATTCAGCCTGTAATTCCATTTCTACTCATCCTTTTTAGAGTTAAGTTTCTCCAAAGATTGTGGACAGGGGTTCTCTCTTTTTCATCTCCCACTTGCCTTCAACCCATTGGTATGTGGCTTTAGCTTCTCCCACTGTATGAATCAGCCCTCCTAGTCACCAGCTCTTGTCCTCCTTAACCTCCTGGTTGTGCATCTGTTCTAGTAAGCCACTAAACTGGGACACTCCCCCCTTGGTTTCCCGGATCCTGCCTTCTCCTCTCCTTCTCCAGTCCACTAATGGACCTTGTCTCCAAATCTCTGATTCCAATTCTTTCTATAATTTCTCTTCCCTAGTCATTTCATGCATTTTCATGACTTCAGCTGTAATCTGTGTTGATGACTCCCATGTTTGTCTTTGGTTCTGACTTCTCCACCCACATTTCCATGGCTTGCTGGATATTTTCACGAGTGTCCTTTTGACACCTCTACCTTAGTGGCTCTAAAATTCAGTTTTTCATCTTTCCCTTCAAAACTGTTCCTCTACCTAGCTCAATACTTGAGTCATCTTCAATTCCTTCCTTTCCCTTAATTTCTATGCTCAATTGGTCACCATACAATGTAGGGTAAAACCTCTTCTTCCTGATTTTTCTTCTTGACCCATAAATTAGGAACTTGTGCTACCTCTAGGGAAGTAGTGGGGAGATGCTTCTGCCGTTATACTAAATTCCCTTATTCACTCTTTTCTTGGGAAGTAGAATGAATTATGTGATGGAGGATATTAGAGGAGGCCATGCCAGCCACTAGTGGGCGGGACTGACAGTCTTCACACCGGGTTCTGTCATGTGTTGGAAAATGTCAGTTTTTTCTTAGCCTTCTCTTACTCTATAGGAAATGGGGACAGGTGAAGTTCCTTTTGGCCTCAGGGTTGGGGAGGCCTGCAGTCCCTTCAGCTGTGACTAGGTGGGAATGCTGAGTTAGAGGAAAAGGAATAAGATGCCCTATTTTGGCCTTGAGTCTAAACTATGTTCTTCAATCTGGTTTTACCCTGAATAAAACTGATATTTTAATTTCCCTTTGGTTTCTCATGTCTGTTCCCAATTTGGTTAAGAATCCAAAGGAAAGAAGGGGTGAATGATAGCTCACATTCTACATACCTAATATTCTCTTAGCTATTTTTTCCCATTCATTTGTCTTCTCTTGGGTGACAATGATAACTCAATGTCATAAAAAACCCTTAACAGATTATATGTATCTTACATTTTGATGTTCTGGAAGTTGACTATTCTGGAAAGTTGTGGTAGGAAAGATTTTGCCCATGGGCCTTCCTCCCCCATCCTACCACCAAAGTTTAACAAATTTATGACTTTTACACTATGTCAACTATTCTTTTGTAATGAAAACCTAGAAGGAAGAAAATGCATGACTTCTACTAAATTAACTTCCAAAAAGGACTGATTGACCAATTTAATATTTATTGAATTCCACAATGCTTTAGGCACCACCTAAATGCACAAAAAGAAGCAATTAATAAGATGACATTATTTGGAAAAGGAAATTATAGATTAGCAACAAACAAATGAGAAAATAAAAATGGAACCTAATACTAAATTCTTTTAATGATTTGGTTTGCCTATTATTAGTATCCCTGAGGTAGCAGAAATGAATGCAACTAAAAAGAAATATCTATTGTATGGCAGTTAAGCATTTGCCTGCTGGAGAGAAATAAACAACGTTCTCATGTGTGTTTGAAACTTATAAATGGCTGCAGCAGACTTAGGATGATAACAATTGTGCTAAAGTAATAGCTCAGAAAACTGTATTTGCTATTTAGTTGCTTTTTGTTGTTAAAAGTGCAAACTTCGGGGCAAACTGGTTAAGTATGCTGTCTGTGGTCTTAGACATGTTTCTGTTCAAGGATACTTAGGTTATTTTGGCTCACTCACAAATTTTAGTCAATGAGATGCATAAAGTAAAGATGACCGTCCTAAATTCTCTTAGTTATTCTCACCAATGTTTGCAAAAGGTTAATTCAGTTTTGTTGTTGTTACTTTACATTACTCTGCCACGCCATTGTGAGGCAATGAGGCAAAGAATCCTTCCTTGCCTGATGTGCCACACATTGCAGGTTCTCAGGATTCTCTTCAGTAACTGCTGCATAAGGGACAGGAATACAGTCTCTCACTGCAGTGGGCTGAGGTATCAGGAAACCTTTGAAACAACGTGCACATGACGCACTGCCACCTGCCAGCCCTTCTGAGTGCCAGGAACCTATGAAGCCTACAATCTGACATTCATCCTTCTCACTTAGGCAGCGTCTGCAAGCAAGTTTCCATCTTCAATCCAAAACAATTGAATGGGATGCAACATGTCAACAATTTGAATGTTTATTTTGTCTTAGGAAACTCAAACTGCAAAAAAACTTATCAATTGTTTTCCATGTTTATGAAGCTGATATTTAAGAGACTGCATTAGACAATGCCTGTTTTGAGTTTCTGTTAATGCTTACACATGGTAATATGTAAACAGCCTCAAGAATATCAATGGTTAAGCTTTTATGCAGAGCTGTGCATTGGTTTTGTATAGTTAGAAAACAATACTGACTTTGAGATCCTACACGCAAATAACAAAACTTAAACATTCTCACTGTTTCTGCTTTCCAGAATTTTACAAATTACTATTTTATGACACACAATTTCATTAGTCTTTGAAATATCCCAAAATAAGAGTCCACTCTAGCAGTTATTAGAAACTCTATAAATGCAATAATGTGTTACCTTGCCATTATAACTGAAACTTCTTTATGTGAGTAAACAAAACAAAACCAACCCCACACAGGGAACGTCCTGGGGGCAGCAGAACGTGGTGCCGCACTGGCCTGCCAAGTATGCAAGATGCCGCAGACTGCTGCAGGAGGGGCCTCTTGGCCAGGTGGCCGTAGTCATCCGCAGAAGGGCACACTGCAGCTTTCCTGCCTTACCTTCTGCGTTGGCATTGCACCAGCAACCACTATAAAATCCCCTGGTCATCAACTGCAATATACTTTTTGCTGGTTATGAAGAAATGTGGGGAGGGGGAAGAGGAAGACAGAGCTGGTGTGTGCGCAAGTGTGACAGAACACTATTTCTTCACACTCTCTAAAAAACTGTCCCCAAAATATTTACAAGCCAACTCTCCAACGTCCTTCAGATGCCAGATACCTCAATCTGAAATCACCTCTTCCCTCAAATACAGTAGATGAGTCAGAGTTGTACGGTAAACGCACGGATACAGGAGGATCTAAAATGCTCATTTTCTCGGCTGCAAAATAGCACCAAGTTTGGGGGCGGAACAGTTCACGTCTATTCGGAAGCGCTCCTAGTTTAGAGGTGGTTGGAGAGGGGTGAGTCTCCCGTTTCTGGAGCACTCAAACTCCCAGAGAAGGCCCTTCCCAGTGTTCACGCTTCAGCGTGCCAGGCACCCCCCGCAAGCAATTGCTCACCCGGCTGCATCCACCAAAGCCCCAACCTCGCTGCAGGGGCGCGGGGAGGTGGGAAGTGGGGGTAGCACCGCTTGGAGAATCTCGCCACTGCCTTACGGTTTTCCCCCTGGCTCCTTGGCGCCCCCTGAGGCCGGGCTCCACAGCAAGGGAGGCTGGACAGGTGAAGCGCCAGGTGTCCCCGGCGCAGAAAGGCGCCAGGCCAGTGCACCTGCTGGCGGCGCGGGCTGCCGCGCGGCCCCGCGGGAGGGCGCTGGGCACTTAACTCAGGCCAGGGCGCAGCCCTCGG